GACAACTAAAAATATATAGAAAAAGTTAGCCGGGCATGGTGGCGCATGCCTGTAGTCCCAGCTACTCAGGAGGCTGAGGCAGGAGGATCGCTTGAGCCCAAGAGTTTGAGGTTGCTGTGAGCTAGGATGACGCCATGACACTCTACCCCGGGCAACACAGTGAGACTCTGTCTCAAAAAACAAACAAAAAAAAGACAATTGGGAGAGGGTAGTTGATTACTTATTGGAACTTTGAAAATGTGTTTATAAAACAGGCACTATATTGGAGACCTTGCATTTAAGGGAAAGATTTAAATTTGGCTATAGAAGAATTGGTTCCTAAAAAGCCATATTTAATGTTTTATTATGTGTGACATTTTAGGGATCTTGACCTCTACAAGCACACTTGTTAAAAACTATGATAAATATACGTAATATAAAATTTACCATTTTAACTATTTTTAAGTGTACAATTAAGTGGCAGTGAGTATATTCACAGTGTGTGTATGCATCCCCACTGTCTACTTCTAGAACTTTGTCATCATCCTATTTAAAAAATCTGTACCCATAAATAAAAACTCTCCATTTTATTTCTGTAAAATTGGTAATAATGTTCCCACTTCATTTCTCATTTTAATAATTTGAGCCTTCTCTCTTTTTTAGTCAATCTAGCTAACGATTTGTCAATTTTGTTAATCTTTTTGAAGAACCAACTTTTAATTTCACTGATTTTTCTCTGTTGTTTTTCTATTCTCTATTTTATTTATCTCTGCTCTAATCTTTATTTTCTTCCTTCTGCTAGCTTTGGGTTTAGTTTGCTCTTTTTTTCCTCTTTCCTAAGGTGTAAACTTAGGTATTGATTTGAAAAGTTTATTGTTTTTCATTATATGCAGTGACAGCTGTAAATTTCCCATTTAGCACCATGCAGCCTTGGGCTGAGGCATGAGCTTGCATCTTCCCCAGGGGGGTGTTGCATGGCTCCTGATCCTATTCCCACAAATGAAAGAATATTCGTGAGGCAAAGGGAGATGAACAAGTGATCTTATGATGTGGTATCTTTTCCTTTCCTAAAACCTGGGAGGTTATTGTAGCTATAAAAACAGACATGCTAGAGTCAGCATCTTCTATCAGTGGAAAAATACTAAATTATTCTCTTTATTTCTTGTAGCTGTTCTAAAGAAATCCAAATGGCAGTTCTGCTGAAATTTGTTTCAGAAGGGGACAATATCCCAGATGCATTAGGTCTTGTTGAGTATCTTAATGAATGGCTTCAAATAATCAAACCATGTGTAAGTTTTACTACTGCTTAAGCCTCTTACTTGTCTGTAACTTGCATTTCATATACTATGTAAATAGACCATATAGGTGAAATTTTATATTAAATATAGACATCTTTACATAAAATTTTGTTTAAGCGAAACTTTTGAAAATAAGAGAAGGCATTTAATTAACCTATTATTTACAGTTGTTTCACTAAAGCTGATTTTCCAAAAAGGAAAATCCTAAGTTCTTCATTGTTGTCATTGTTCATGTTACATTAATTATGCCAGACAGGTTCTTATAAGAATAAACAAGTCTTTGGAATTCAGGACTTTTTTTTAGGGAAGCAAAAATTGAGTATGTATGACAATTAAGACACTTTTCTGTATTACGAAAAGAGAGCATTACACCCGGGGAAATGAATCGGACTTTAGGCATAACAGAGGCACCAAAAGTCTACAATATATGGTGCGTAACTATCTTTTTAATTCATGTTTTTGCCAAGAAAAAAAATTGATACAAATCACATGACACTCATTTTTTTAAACCCCCGATTCATTTTAAATTTGATTTTACTTAATAGACTCCATCTGCAGCCTTTCTTGGCATATCTTTATGATTTGGAACTTGAACAAATTTATCTTCAGTTGACACAAAGACATAGAAACTTACTACTTTATTTTTCCTTAAAGTAAAACCTGACAGAAAGTGTCAGAACCGTACTACGTGTTAGATAGAAGGGGATTTGATGGTAAAATTGAAAGATTAAAATGTTATGTTCTTCACTTACAGAGTGATGGTCCCACGGCATCTACCTTGAGGTGGAAGATACCAAGTTCTTGGAGATTACTCTTTGGCAGCGGTCTTCCCCCTGCACTTTTTTGATGTATTTTCAGTTTTTGTACCTTATATACCAAGACACTTATTATCAACACAACTGCTTAACATTGTGTACAAAAATTTGTATAATCTGAGAATGTATTAGGAAATAAATACTTGTTTTTCACAGAAAATCTCAAAAAAAAAGGATTAACACAAGGTCTTTTTGCCATGCTTTTCATCATATACAACAAATGTAAATTTTGTACAATAAAATTTTATTTCCCAAGTAATTTTGTCTTAAATAATATCCTTTTTAAAAAACTCAGACTCTAATTAGCTTCCTATTTCTGCGGTAATAAATTACAACAAACTTAGTGGTTTAAAACAACACAAATTTATTTTTACTTACAGGTATAAAAGTCAAAAGTCCAAAAATGGGTCTTACTAGGCTACCACCAAGGTGATGGTCGGGCTGTGTTCCTTCTGAAGCCCTGGGGAGGATCTGGTTCCTGTCCGTTTCCAGCTTCTGGGGGCTGCCACCTTCCTCGGCTCATGGTGCCGCCTTCCATCTTCAAAGCCAGCAGCTTAGCATCTTCAAACGTCCCTCTCTCTTTCACTTATAAGGACCCTTGTGATTACATTGGGCCCACCCCAATAATCCAGGATAATTTCATCATCTCAAAAGAATTTTAGTGTAAAAGAAATAATAAAAAATAGTTTTCATTTTTGGGTGCCTACTATGTACAGTCACTTTACACATAATCTTGCTACTGCAGCACCACATAACCTGCAATACTGCAGACAGACACCAGAGGGAGCAAGAGACCACAAGCTGAAAAATCAACACCACTCCAATTGGGAAATTACATACACCAGGCAGAGAAGTTAAATCTTCCAAAAAACATTTAACAGGCTTCCAAAATCTCTACCCAGGCTGGTTGCTGAAAGTCTTCCCTATACAAAGCCAGTATGTAAAGATTGGGAGAGGTGGCTGTTTATTAAATGCATAAAACAGGAAAAATCAGGCCGAGGCAGGCAGATTGTTTGAGCTCAGGAGTTCGAAACCAGCCTGAGCAAGAGCAAGACCCCATCTCTACTAAAAAAAAATAGAAAGAAATTAA